TCGACCTGATGATTGTAGTGATCTAGGCACAACCATTACTTAGACCCCTACAGACCCAGTTGTGAAAACTTCAGTGGCCTCGATGGGATAAGGACCCACGCCAGCAAGGTATAAGGCTTTGTTACAATCAATGCTTCAGTCAACTGAGCTATTAGGCCCCTCGCACCGAGAACCGTGAGTTTAATCACCCACCCAACCTACTGCAACGTATGCTATCCAGTTGGTTAGAGCGTTGGCTGTAATAAAGCCTTCCTCATTGCTGGCGTGGGTTCGAATCCGAACGAAGACGCCAAGTCTTCCACCGGCGGATCAACTGAGTTTTGTAGGAAACACGCACTAAAATGCTGCCTGTTTAACTTAGTTGATAGAAAATAACGTCTTTAAAAAATTGTTTATACTTGCACAAGGGGTTACCTTTCTGGTTAAAATAACTTTCAGTTGCTAAATAAGTTTAAACCATACCTGTCTTTGGCTTGCAATCAGGGTTTCCAAACTACATACTACATGCACTCCGTCTGGGTAAACCATACATTACTCTGCGCTAGTAGAAGGAGGCTACTCAGCGCTCATAAAATTTTACAACGGACGTGGACCAGATTGTTAATTTTACAAACAATGGTAATAAAGGACAAACGAATATGCTGCATCATAGAAGGCATCTAAAACAGCTCATAATTAAAAATCCTTTTGAAACCAAAGGATACATAGTACCTCCCACCTCCGGTACCACGCCCCATCAGAGATCACGTGATTTCAGTTCTCGGTCTGGCTCTTGGGAGAGCCAATCACAGGTGCGTCAACTGCTATTGGCCAAGCAACTGGTTAAGCGGCCAGTGACTCACTCTCGCTTAGCGTTTGTGCATTCAATCCCACCTCATGATATGAGACAGAAACGCACGCATGTTCCGAGCTTTTCGCGTGTCGGGGATGTAGACCAGCACTACTGAGTTTCTGTATGGATGACACAACTCCTATTGATCCTTGCCTTTATTTTTCTATACTGAAATTGACGCGATAATTGCAGTGCTCTGAGCATACTCATGGTTAAGATCCCCTAAATATACCATTTTGTAAGGGGAAGCAACTTTGACAGGGCATAAGTTGCTACAAAATGAGCACAGAAAGTAATATTTTTGTGTCTTCTCCTTCTGCAAAATATATATTTTGATGCACACTAAGCCGAATTTACAGCTAGACAAAGAGCCAGACGCGCCAGTTGGTAAGCTGACAATTTTATGCCAACCTAGCATGGTGAAGTCGTTCAGAAAAAGAATCCGACAGGTCAACTGGACACGTAGCGTTGGAATCGACTGTTTTTTAGCCATTGAATCTGCGTTTAAAGCCTCAGTACGAAAACAATCGAAATTACGTTATAACTGGTTGGCGCGCGTCTTTCCGATGTAGTAATAATATCCCTTGATAAGTGTTTACTCGTCGGTAGGTAACCGCTAGTATAAACTCTAGATACGGAGCTCTAGGATGACGTAGTGGTGGTCTCTAACTTGGAGCCTTGAATACTGCTCACGTGGAACTGGCTAAGAAGTAAAATAGGGAAAAAATTAGCCCTTCTCTGCGCTTCCGTTGCCCGAATCTGCTGACGGACCGGATTGGCAACAGCTACAACTTCTCGCTGCACTGCCTTTAAAATGGATTCCCAGAGATGTGGTCAATGTTTCGATCTACTCTTTGTTCTGCTGAAACATTTAAATTGAGACCTTCCCGCCACCGGTTGCAGCTAACTTTCATTCGCATTATTCTAGGGGGTCATCTTTATAAAATACAGCAGTTCCACTGTCTGCTACGGTCGCCCAGGGCCGTTCAGAAAGACTTTAAACGAAATCCTTTCTCGCAGGTCTTACCACGTCACCGGCACGCTGGATGGTCAACATGTGCCGAGTGCGAGGCAGAAGGTGTTCGTTGATGGCAATCTCCTCGGTGAGGGTCCATTTGGCAGCACTTGTTTGATCCAGCTTGATGTACTTGTAGTAGAGCTTGCGGTCCTAGAAGGAGCAAAAAAACACACAGTTCATGCTGATTGGCAGTTTGACACTCTTTTTTTTTCAAGATCGGGTTCAGAATCGACCGGCCTTAAAGGTAAGTTTGACAAAGAAGAAGCAACATAACGAACAATTTATTGAAAAGACTCGCTTTTAGTCTACCAAAGCATAGCAACACAGGTACATCTAGTTTGACCACTATGAAAGTATGCTTATAATCAACAAACAACGGGCCCATGGCTCAATGGTAGAGTGTTACACTTCAGGAACAATGGGGTCTCGGATTCGGATCTCGAGTGATCCACACTTGAAGTTGACTATGGCTGGCTGATGACAACAGAGAAGACAGAAATGGCTATTCCGGTCTTCCTTGTATTTATCGTTTCCACTGCATTATCTATATCATGCATGTATATAACTCTGGACGTATAGTACCGTGGGATATATTGCCGTTTTTAGGCAAGCCTACAGCAGAGCACCTTATGACAACTTAAACACTCAACCGAACATTTTATTCTGCCCCTTGAAGGGCCTTAACTGTTGCGTCAGGAAAGCTGTCGTGTTTGATTGCAGATGCAGAGATTAAACATTTACGCAACACGCAGCTCCTTTGCACTGCGGAGCCCACTTATCCAATTTTTAAGCAGCGTCGAACCACACTACCTTGGAAACACCTACTTCTGCTGTACTATTGTCAATTTCACCTTCTTTTTTGGCATGATAGGTGATTTCCACCCGGCGAACCGAGGCTAAGACAAACCTCCAGCCGTCAGAAAACTCTCTGCACCGCGCCGCTCCGCGCCATGCCACACCGAACCGTTGACCATGTCTGTTAAAACGCTGAAGATGGAGAAGAAAGCCGTGCAGCTGGGCCAATGAAAACGCTCAACGTTACCTACTCGTTCTAGTCACAAGATGCAGTCATAACATCTATTGGCCTCTGATGTTTCGAATGCTTGCTCAAACTCATCATCATCACCAGAGAAGGCCGCAGATAAGTGCCAGGTGTGCAGTGAGCCGGCGTTCCGTTCGGTTCTCCGACCGTTCCGGTGGAGTAAAAAGCACAATAAGCTCGCGGTTCCAGAGTGTATGCTGAGAAATTAGCTAGGAAGAGTAAATAGCCATACAGAGAGGACGCGTTAGGGGAGTGGAGAGGTAGTGAAAGCCCCCAGTGACAACGGACTGGCTAATCATCATGCGAAAAATTGAGAACAGTGGCGAACTGTCGATGGTCAACGACTAAGATGCGAACTAACGAGCAATCATCGCAGACTGCACCAGTGATGATGCACGCGACAACTGCTAATTGGACTAGGTACGTGACTGCAAGGCAATTGCGTCCCGTAAATACCGCCCTCCTGGCGCTCTCATCATCCTAACTTGCGACAGTGCTGGGTTCGAACGAGAACCCGAAACATCGGACCAATAGGGTTTTTGATCTAAACGCCCCCCCTGTAACTCACCTGCTCAATCAGCAAATCTTCCCGTGCATCATAGTGCCTTCTGCCATTGACCTACAAGTTTTTAGATTTGAGCCTGATGAATGTACTGCTACTCTGAGTACAACCGCGGCTTAGAAACGAGCATGGCAGTCACAGGCAGACAAAGCTAACTTGCTAAACAGGTCCCAATAGGAGGCTGTTGAGCGTTTGACTGCCAGCAGCCACCTACGGGGGTCTAATCACCGTGCTCCCGCGGAAGGTCAGGCTCACAACAAGAACACAGTTCAGCAAAAGTTGCCGCTTCACATGTGGTAGGCCATGCCTAGTGTCACTGCGCTGATTCATCGTATCTTCGTCTATCAAATCCTGCATGCTCGCAATCCACTCCACAAGCTGTGAAAGCCGCCCACGCTGTCCGTCTCCCGATCGGGTCACTGCAGTGCGTATTTGTCCTAGCCTATCGAGAGCTCGAACCCAGCCTTCCCTGATTGGTTGCAGGCAACAAGGAACAACTCCCCTGTGCTTCCTGTAACACCGCGTGCACGCACAGACACTAGCAATTGCCGTGAGAAGATGGCGCACAGTTCTCTTTCGTTTGATTCCCTTGTAAGCTCTTTGCCAGAGACTCATCAGGCTTTCCTGACTTCTGACTTGGGGGAACTTTCTGTTCGCTGCCCCACTACCATCAGCACCACCGATGTCGGGACGGCCCGGACGTGAGTCATCACTCGGGCAATCTTGAAGCTGCCAGAACAAAGGGACCTTACTGGTGACCGGTTCATGCAGTTACAAGCGCCCTTCAAAGGGCGGACATTAGGCCAGGGCAAAGAAGCGTGCTAGTGAGACTGCCCTACGGCCGGGTTGCGGCTATCGGGAGGTCATGCTAAGGACACGACGGCTGGAGGCATGACGGCTGCCCGTAGAGGCCACTCTTGGAGAGCCAATAGGGAAAAATGACTACTGGACCTTCAATATTCTGCCAATGCGATTCTACTGCTACCGACGCGGGACACGGCTGCTAGAGACACGGAACGCTGTTGGCTGAGACGACGACAGAGCACACGCTGCTGACGGACAGAGAAGACAAGCTGCTGGACACACAAGAAACAGAACTGATGTACTAGTAGGAGTGATAGCAAAGTACTATCTACTATCCTGTTCTGCCTTCTCTTCCTAACATATAACTAGGGGACATAACCGGTGTCGACAAAGGAACACACAAGGTTATAACAGTGATCATAGACTGCTTCCCACCCATTTGGGCCACACAGGGATCTGACTTTCGCAAACACCAGAATTAGAGGCGCTATGCCTTCTGGCTGACTCAAAATTCGCAACGTCAGTGCAGAGGTAGCCAATCTACTTGATACTTAATATAAGAACTGTTCTGAAGCAGATAGTGCGAATAAAAAAAAACGTTTCAGATTTTCCCTTGGCTTTTCACGAGACAGGTGATTAACTTTAATTTGTCCGGAAAATCAATACGCTAAAAGCAGGGTCATTTTTAATACCCACGATTTAACTGATGAATAGGATTTCCCTAAAAGTATCATAG